CTGGCGACTGCCTGGACAAGTCCCTGCAGTTTTCTTGGCAAGGTTTTTTGGAAGTGGTTTGTCACTGCCTGCTTCCCAGGGCTGAGGGGGAGTGACTGGCCCAAGGTCACCCAGCTGGCTTCGTGCCTAAGGCGGGACTAGAACTCAGGGTCTCCCAGTTTCTAGCCCGATGCCTTAACCACTACACCAAACTGGCTCTTTGCCCTTTGCTGTGGTTATTAAGCTTCACTCAAAAATGGCAAATTCACTGCAAGGGGTGCTCACGGTAGAGGGCATAGTTTAAGAAAGTACAAGATGACTTACTATATTTTTCTGCAATTCTTTTCCTCTATACTAGTTAGATAGATTTTACCTTACTCTTTCTGTATCACAGAAAACTTCCAAGACATCCTAAGTAGACTGTTCTCATTTCTCAAGCTATGAATGTGAATCTTTGATTGGAGGAGCACAATAAAATCTTTCTCCCTGCACCATTTAAATATTGACCGTGGCATAAGAAAGCATTTGCTGTCCATGATGTGCAAGATCATCCCACTACCTTTTCTAAGCAAAAGATATCCAAGGTTTCTGTAGTTTTTCAGAAATTGCTGAATTATGCTGTACCTCAGACAACAATGCAACAAAACAACTGAGCTTGTCCACCAAGGTAATTATGTTTTTCATGAAATTCTGAAGTCTTTAGGAATATATTGTCTACTCGTCAGAAAACTGAAGGCAGACTTTTGCTCATGGCTGCTCAGGCATCCTGGATCCACAACTCTCCAAATTCCAAGTCAGAATGTGCATCTCTAAAACCACTGGAGAATATTACATTGGGTTAAGGCTGGGTTAAGATTTACTTACATTCTCCTTCTCAGCACTGCCATATTTGGCTCGGATTCTGGGCTCTTTGATAGTGGCCAGGTTGGTGCCTGTCACAGTCAACAATGTCCCACCACTAGGAATCAAGCAGAAGAGGTTAACTGAAGGTCCCAATGGAGAGGGTGCAGGCAACATAAGCCAGTGGAACAAAGCATTCTTTTTATCCCAATATTTTGCAGCTCCATACTCTTTTAACTTCATGCTGGGAAAAACAACAACTTTGTGAATTATTTTAGACAGCAATGCGTAAAAATGAACAGTTCCTATTTGGAGTTCCATTAATCTCCACAATATACCAAGGATACCCAATATCAAACTTTGACTCTTAACAAGTCTCAAAAAGAATAGTTTCTCCTTTTGCCCACTACTACATCTGATTTTCTAGGAATCTTTTGGTTCTCCTGTCCTTGGGGTGCTTCCTCTTCCAACTTTTAAAATTTTATTGGAACAATGGGGTTGCTCAGCTTGCTTTGTCTGTGCAACTGCCAATGTCCTTCTTTTTCTCTCCTTTGGCCCCTCCCTGCTTTGTTCAATTTATTTTTGTGAAAAAAAATGGTCCACTGCTTCCCATTTAATATTAGCTTCATATTAAATTAACTTGGTCCCGCGCTCAGGTATCATCTTTACTAGGCTGTTCATCTAACAAAAATGCAATCAAAATCGGCATTTAGTAAAATGTCTACTAAATAGTGCTATAAAACAGCACTCTGTCCCCATTCTGTGCCATGTCACGCAACTAGAGATTTGGATTTTTTTTTTCCTTATGTAGCTAAATCTTCTTTAAATAGCTAAGATATTACAGTACAATCCTACAAATGAGTAGGACAGGGCTTACTCCCAAATAAGTTAATATCAGGTCTTAATAGCATTAACTGATGCCAAATTCCAGGCAGAAAGTGTATTATTCCTTCCAGTGTTTATTTTGGAATTCTACATGGCATCCAGAAGCTAGATGCAGAAGGATGTATTTCCCAGGCATTGTTTGAATTCTTTTGATTCAGGTCCATTAATTACCAGTATAAACACTACAAATAATTGTAAGAAACTGCAAGACTCAAATCCCAATGAAAGCAATTCCCATTGAAACCATTTAAGGCTCAAAGAAGAATTCATTTATTGAGAGACTAGTGTACAGTTGTAAGCATTGCTGACACTAAAGAGCCTGCACACGCCAAACTTAATTTTACCCCCTTTTCCTTCCACCTCCTCCCTTAATGTCCCATAACCGTTCTTGCACATGCCCCTGGTCTCACGTTGGTATGACCTTGGGCATTCCTGGGAAATTGATAACAATCCATCTGCGCCTCTTCATCTCTCCCCCAGCCTTTTCTTGTAATGGCAGAAATGAAGCAAGCAAGCTAGCAGGATAGGTTAAATTGATTGCGAGGCTTCTGACATGAATATGTGATTTTTACCACAAAACTTACAATTTCACTTTCGTATTGATATTTTGTAAGAAAACATGTATCGAAAGCAAAGGTTTATTGTCCCACATGCTTCACAAAATAGGTCTTTATTGTAGGAAAGAGATATACCATAACAGTCATTCATAAATATCTCCCTGAGCTATCCCCAAATAACTCATCAAATAAGTACAAAATGGTATAGAAAATCTAACATTTGTGGGAATTTCTTTTGACTGCTGGTAAAGAGCCTCTTGATGAGGGTGAAAGAGGAGAGTGCAAAAGCTGGCTTGAAACTCAACAT